ACAAATTAAAATGCCTCAGCCTATTTAGAACCTGAAGAAGCTTTCACTAGCTCAATCTGAAAACAGACTAAAACTCAATAGTATTCCTACGATTTTCTGACTAAAAGCTCCCTGAATGCTGTATTAATATATGGCCCAAATCACCAGATTATACACACAGTATAATGTTCAAAATACTCATTAAGATCTAAGGTCCTGTCTTTAAAGCCACTGAAATGATGAAAGAAGTAAGACTCTTTAAAATTCTAATTTTTTTCACTAGTGATACTGATTGCTTTGTGAAACTCAAAGTGTAATAATGCATTTATTAGAAGACTATTACATAGAATGAACCCTGCACTGAGTGGGGGTGAACTGGCTAGATTGTACCACTTAGGGGAGCCTTAAATGGGTGCCCAGTTTTTATGTAGTGATGGAAGGAAAGACTGATGAACTTCATCTCTTGAATGGTATAGCAATCTTTCCTACATGGAAAGAAACATGGGATAACTGCTTTTTCTTCACTCACATGGGTAATAGGAAAATACCAAACAGGCAAAGAATTCAGTGCTCTCCTGAAGGCTGTGACTACAGCCTTGCTCACTTGTAACTTGCCAACAATACATTCACCTACAAACCAGTGTCTGTAGAACATCATGGAAACATTTTCTATCTTTTTGCAAACCTTAATACTTGAATTAAATATGCCATGACATCAATACTTAAATTTTCTTCCACCTTTGGGGGCTTTCTCCAAATTTTTCTCCTTACAAGTATCCTTTTCCTATCCTTCTCCTTTTCTCTCCTTCAAGTATCTTACTGAATGAAACACTGCCAGACAACTTCCCTGGACATAGGAATCTGCTGATTCATAGTGTTAAGCTTGTGCAGTAGCTGTCAACACTTGGAATATGTCAAATAACAACATTGTCCCTCTCCTCCCAGTAATTCCTCGATATGGTACCAAAGCTAGCATGGGCAATAAATGACTGCTGAGCTGCAGTGTCTCCAAGCTCTGTTTTGGATAGCACAGCATGCACAGGGGTTCTTCCTGCCAAGCTGGCCTCTGTGCCAGTTCCTGGTTGGGAACAAGCCTTTGGAGATACAGACCATGATTAAGCCTGTTAAGTGGGACCTTCCAAATGCACTGTGCACCACAGGTGCCGCTTGTGCTTCTCCTGCCTAAGAATGTGCAAAATGTACGTATGTAATCTTTTCAGTCTTTTAACATTGTTCAGTAAATCTGATTTTTCACTGATTTGAAGTTTAGAATTTCAAGTTCTTTCTGTATTCCTTAGCCCATCAACAGTAGATATAAACACTTCCATTTTCCTTCAGTTTGTTAAATTAGCACAGTATATAGCCATATATATCCATATTTTATTCTAACACATCAGAATGAAAACCACCAAGGGTTTGTTACTATTTATTTTATATTGCTTATTTTCCTAAAAGAAATAAGTTTCTAATGAAACATAAAATTGTAGGAATATAAATTCACTATCTGCTAACTACCAATAACAACTAAAGTAAGGTCAGAAATGCCTTAAACATGAAAATTAAATTCTTTTAAGGTACTACTATCACTGTTAGGCTAGGGTCCTTTCATCAAACTGTAAAACAAACATTGCCCTCTTTGAGTTACTGATCACACATGACCTTTATGCAATTAAGGGTACATTAACACCCAAGGGGAGATGTTTAAATGGATCTTAGTGATTTAATACACTGTTGGGAAATTGTATGTACTTAAATTGCCTAGATTGTTTTTGACATCTTGACATGCAGTTACTTAAAAAGTGTTGCTTTTGCAGATACATATAAAGATCTACACAATAATGCTTAACAAAGGTACTCTTTAACAAGATTACATACTGGATTTTTTCCAGTCAGCTCATTGCCACACTATCTGAGTACCCAATATTCATTACTAAATTTATCTTCACAATTACTTTTATGAGATGAGTTTCTCGTAACTCATACGCAAGAAATTGAAATAGAAATAACAGACATTTTGTACAGTCTGACAGTTCCATCTGAACTCACAGCACTTGATACTGAAGTTCTCTTCACAACTACAAGTCTTAATCACAAGCCAACCTGTCTCTCTGAAGCAATACACACCCTATTTATGGAGCTACTATCATCTCCACTGCATCAAAAAGATAAAGAGCACCAATAAATATTTTTTTGTTTAAAACAAAGGGGAGGTAGCTGTACATTAGATTTCTTCCATATATGTGTAGAATGTGAGCATCTTCGATGATGCAGTTGGTAAAATTATTTCAAACACCTTCCAGACCACCTTAAATGACTAATAGCTAAAATAGACTTTGGCAAAATATGCCTCCTCTCCTTTCTACACAGCTTGTCATAAACTCAGTTGCCCACTCATTCAGAACGTGGCTAAATGAGCTCTTCAGCTACAAATCCTCAAGATGCAGTGAGCTCATTGTATTACTCACACTCTCTGCCAGGAACTGAGAATTCCTGCCTCTGAATGTTTCTGGTGCTTACTTTCTGCTGGTTCTGGGATTTCTTTGATCCTGCTGTGAGCTGATTTAACTTTCTAAAACATAAGAGAATTTCAGCAGACTGATGAACCAATTTCACTTGTTAATTCAATGCATGACAAAGCCTGAGAAGTACCAGAACTTGTAATCAGAAGGCAGCAGGGTTATCCAGTCCAAGCTGAGGGAGTGTGTCCTCCTCCTTTAGGCAATAAGGAAATCAGCTTGTCTATAGTCCAAGTAAATCTTTAATTTCTGAAGTATCAGTTGCTTCAATTTACAGTCTGCCTTATGTTATATCACGAAGCCTCACTAAAAGGCAGATATGTTGTTTTTTTTTGAAAATGGAAATGTCAGACCTAACACAGAAGACTGACTCCTAAAAATCTGTAAATAAGAAAATAAAACTGAACTCCAGCAAACATTTATTTTCTGCAGAAATTCAACCTTGTATTATAACTGCTACAGGATCAAGTAAGTTTTGCCTAGTGGCATTTATGAAAGCCAAAGGCCACATTACAACTTTAATTGACTGTGCTGGTTTTGACTGTGGTAGTTACAACTTTCACAGAGGCTGGTGTGGGGCCATGCCTAGGACTTGTGCTGGAAGCAGTGTTGATAACCCAGAGACATTTTCATTACTGATGCACAGTGCTCCCACAGAGCCAAGGCTTTCCTGCTCCTCACCCCAATCTACCAGCAAGGGGCCTAGGGGTGCGCAAGGAGTTGGGAGGTGACACAGCCAGGACAGCTGATCCCAAATGATCAAAGGGATATTCCAGACCATATGGCAGCATGTTCTGCAGAGAGTGGAGGTAAGAAGAGTGGGAGCAGTGGCTTTGTCTTCCCAAGTACACATTAAGCGCACTGGAGCCCTGTTGTCCTGGGGATGACCGAACACCTGCCTGCCCATGGGAAGTTGTGAATTCTCTGTTTTGCTTTCTGTGTGCAGGTTTTGCTTTCCCTATTAAACTTCTTCTTCCCCATCCCACCTGGGGAAGTGAGCAGCTGCATGGGGCTGGGCTATGGGCTGAGGTTAAACTACAACAGTGCCCAACTGACCGTAAGTGACCAATGCACTCTGGCCAGAACCTCTTTGCTCACTTGACACACAGATTCCAGCTCTACAATGGAAAAAAATTGTAACTTGCAGTAGTTCAGCAGCAGACTAACATACTTCTACAAAGTGCTTTAGCACAAAGGTGTCTGAAAATCAGGTAAATAATGTACAAGATTTTTGGGCTTGGATTTTTCTGATAACAGGTTTCTGAGAGTGGGACACTGCATCTGATCCTGATGCACACAGGAACCACCTTGACCGTCATATACAAAGTCCTAAGAAAAACAGAAGTGTTGAATATTCCATATGCTCCTTCCAAAGGTCATTTTACTACGATCTTTACAATTCCTGTGAACTTAGTCACTCTAAACTCTTAACAAAGACTTTAATCTTTTCATGGCCAGAATTCTCCATTCTCCCTTGAAGATGAATCAGGAATGTGAACTGACCCCATGAAAGAAGGTAGAAATATTAGTTCCTACCTTTGGAATTTTTCCATGTTCCTAACATGGAAAAATGCATCAGTATGATTAATTATAAGTTAATGCAATTCAATTGTTATTTCAATTACTGTTAAACGAAAGTAATTCATGGCTTTTACTTTCCAGGATAGCACGGTAACAATACTAATTGCTCCATCTTCAAAGAACTACTGCTGAAAGAGGTTTGGGTTTCTTTTTTATTGGGTTTTTTTTCCACCAATGCAACTTGACACTTATTTCAGTAGATCCTTCCAGCAAGAGTATCCAAATATCTTCTTGTCTCCACTGAAAATATTTTACTTAATATGTGAAACTAAATGACGATTGAAGTAAAACAAAAAAAAAAAGCAAAAATGTGCAGCTTACTTTGCAGAGTGAAATCTTTCACTGTCCACAGAAAACACTGGGTTATTTCTTCTCCAACACCTTAAAAATTGTTTTAATCTTATGAATATTTAGTCTCTTACAACTTTTATATTTCCCAGCATAACTTCTAAATAAGTATTCTAAAAAAATTATAGCCCTCTTCTGTATATGGCAGAACAAATACATGCATTAGAATAGATTTTGCTTCAGATATACTCTAAGTGGATGTTAAATACTATTTTTGGAAGCAGATATACATACCTACACTGCATGGACACTGCTACCTAAGAAGCTACCAACTGTAAAGATGAAGAACAGCATTTATGATGAAAAGTAAATTATGGACTGTCGTTAATAGGGTTTGGCAAGTATTGCTGCCATTTTAATTTGCAAATGTTCAACTAGTGAAAAACAATCAGTTCTTTCAACTTTCCTCCGGGTAGCTTGAAAAGATACTGTGTAAGATATACAGGCATGCTCAAAGTTCTGCCAGTGACAGCATTCCTCGAAAGCCATATACTTTGGAATATAATTTATAAGATGAGCAGAATTTAGATTCCTACTACACCTTAAGTTTTTTTCTTTCATTTTAAAATTAGTTAATTTGAACTTCATTTAAAATTTTTATTAAAGATTTGTATTTGGCCTCAAATCATTCCACTGGTAAGTCGAAAGTACAGTACCCATGAAAACAGTAAGAAGCCTTGGTGTCACAGAAGTGTAACTTAGAAAAAAAAGACTCAAAATCTTGATGACTACCTCATGCAAGATACCTTGCTTTCTTTCCCCCTGAAGAGTTTTTTAGCAGAAAGTAGATCAGAGTAAAACTGGGCAATTCATAGTGGAAAATCTTTGAACTAAAGGCTGTGCAGAGAGGCTGTGGAGCCCCCCTTCACTGAAGACATCCAAGAAGCATCTGGATGCAATCCTGTGCCGTGTGCTCTGCAATGACTCTGACTGGGAGATCAGATCAGAGGATCCACTGTGGTCCCTCCCAACCTTACCCACTCTGTGATTCTGTAAATTGTACAGGCAGAAAACAGCATAAAATAAAATGATTTTGTATGTAACACGTGACAATCTGATACAGGAAATTACTTACCCAGTAAACTCACAACTCCATTTTGAAAGGATGATTTGTTCATTTCAGAACTCAACAAGTGTAAAACATTAAAGACATTAAAACTGAACTCCACTTCTATTATATTCGAAATATTTTTATACATTGTCTTAAGACATTTATTACTGTGAAGCACATTGTATAATTTAATTCTCTACAGAACAATATAGTTAATTCAGTATCATCAATACCTTTACACAGATACAGTATTGAAGCCATGTCATCTTTTGCTTACTGTCAAGTACAAAACAGCTTATACAGTCTAAAAAAAAGCTACAAACCACACTTGTAGCATAACGTATGTTGTGCCTGCTTAAAGTTTACAGCAGTGGCTTTCTGATCTTTCAAGACAAATAAACATGACACCACAGGATAGCAAACAGCTGTGCAAACTCAGACTTAGGAGGAAGACCTAACTACCTCCTTTTTCCAGAACTACTTTTCCCTGCTTTACTGCTGCTACCACCAGACTTGCTGGAAGATTTTGAAGAGAAAAGTCTTGTCATGAATTCAGACACATCCGGCAGCTCATGGTTGGAATTCAGCATGTTCATCGACTGCTCCATTTCCTGCATGCAAAGATCAGATAATCTTAATAGCTTGTAACAATTCTGGCTGTATTTAAGACATCAGCTGAAAGACTGTATGAGAAAGACGCCAAATTTTCCCAAATACTGTTTTACTTTTTGTAGTCCTCCAGGATACATATTGCTACACAGTTTTATGCAACCACGGCCAAACACCCAGCTACTCAAAACTAAAAGCAGCAGCATATGGAAAATGGTAACCATGTCTTAAGCAGTCTTATAGGGCAACCATCTGATAAAAAAAAATCTAAAAGATAAAAATTCTTTATTTTCAGCACTGCTTTTCTCCATATTAAAATGTAGGAATGATAGATCTTTAAGAGCTTTCAAGGCATTTTAGTAGCCTTTGTTACTATTGCATCTACACTATACCTCTAAAACAAGCACAGTTACTAAATAATTAAACTTTCTACACAAACTGGTACTGTATTGATTCCATAAAGAAAAAACAAGTTAATTTGAAAAACATCACAACCTCCATATACTCCACAAGTTCACACTTAACAATTTAATACATGGTCATCTACAGAATGACATTACAATTTAGTTGTTAAAAACAACTTTTTCCTACTCTCTTAAGTTAAATTATAAGCAAAATTCTTCCAACATAAAATTTTCTCCTTAAGAAGTCAAATCAGTTATCTGATAAGAACTAAATAATCCAAAGTTTTGATGGTTTTACCATCAGAACAGCCTGTCTATAAGAGTGGCAGATCAGTGAAGAAAGTAAGTAATATGTGATTTTTGTTGTTTTTTAAATTCAATTTCCAGAGTTCAGCTTGGTTTGAAGAACAGGCCATAAATACCTAGCATATCTTTGTATCTGTTTTAAATCAATATTATAGCCAAAGGAGCATTATACAGCTCTGATATGCTTTTAAAAGGTATTACTTATTAAAAAAAATACTCAGACACCTATGAAGTACTACTGAAGACAGTGGTCATTTATAGGAAAAGGAGATTTTAGTTAACCAAGCCTTCAAAAAGCAGCCACCCATGACAGACAAATAATACTTGTAAAAAGAAAAGATTTAACAAACACCTTGAATCTCCATTTTGTCCTAGCCTTCTGCTATCCAGAATTTTGCATGATGAAAGGACAATAAATCAGATAATTTAATTACTACATTAAGACTCCATATCATATACACTAGTGTGACATCTGGATTTAAAAGTGTAGTAAACTGTGGTTTCGGCTGAGGCACAAGAGAACGCCACATCACATTCTTCTCAACACACTTGGCACTCATTGCTAAAACAGCAACACTGTATTAGCTGAATAAATTATGCCCATTAAGCCTTCCTTTAAAGTACAGTTTTGTTTTTATTACTTTTCTGTGCCCTGAAATCTCATTATCTTTGGTCTCTCCATATGCATCAATTGAATGTACTTACCCGCCTCATATCAGGATCACTGGTGTTGACAACTTTAGGCAAAAGCACAAATATCAGTAAGGGGAGAACCATCATCATCACCTACAGAGAAAACAGGAAACACCTCTTCAGCTTAGTTGTTGCTCTGAATACTTCCAGACCTACTAAAATAAGATGAAGCTCTACTAAACAGCTGAACTCTAGAACTACTGCATTCTGAATCAATAAGCCAGTAACACTTGTCAGGAATGAAACCTGATAAGGGAGTATTGTGCTTTAGACAATAGTTTTCAAAGTTGAACCAATAAGGCAAGTGGTTGTTCTCTCTTATGCCTGCTGTAATGACAATTTTGAAACATGTTCATCTCTGCTCTACTAGAACAGCATCACATTGTCAAAGGAAGAGACTACAGGCTATTTTCAGAGGATGTAATTTAACAGTGGTATAGGGGAGGAGCTGTCAGAGAAAAGCTTTCAATTTGTAAGCAAGTAAAGCCAAGAAAATAACCCTCTCAGAAGAGCAAAGGAAAAATGCACATTTTTTCACAGTTGTTTTATCCTTAGCATACTCCCTGTGCATACCATAGGGTTCATGAGGAAATCTGTCCATCCCCAAGATTCTCTCTTTATGAAGTATGAAGGTGGTCCAGAAGATTTCATCTGGAGTGGGTATGGCAGCCTGACAACTTCAGAGGGCTTGATGTAATTCACATATCTTGCTCTATTGGGCAAAATGTAAATAATTGAAAATATAAACACAGAATCTTTAGCAAATAATGAAGAAGATTTTAAAAATCCAAACAAGTTTAAATAAAAGACTACAAACAAAATCATCTGCTATGCAGTGTCAGCTAGGCTTCGCTTTTGAAGAGTCGATTTCCCTCAGCAGCTTATTTTACGGAATCAAAAGCAAACCATTTTTTGTCACCTTGTAAACAAGCAAGAAAAAGTATGCTGTTTAGGGTTCAGCTTTGAACAGTGTAATGTAGTTTAATCAGTTTGCTCAGGACATCAACTTGGGAAGCTAATACTTTTTCTGTAAGTGTATTACTCTGCATTTATCAGTACTGAATCTCCATCTTTATTATATTACTTCATAAGGTTTTCCATAGTACATCACTAGTATTCTTCATTTGGGCCTAATATTTAGATAATTACTCAGTACTAACATCTTTGTCATTCCTGACCCATTTTTCATGATTTATGAATATTTATCCATTTTGTGTAATTCCAGGGATGACTTCTATCCATAAATAATTTATTCCTTGTGTGAATTCTTCACGAGTACTCATCTAGAAAATGTCTTTCCCTCCTACCTTATGACGTGTTTTCTTCAAAACTTGAGATTTTCAAGTAGATCTTATCAAATACATCTGTTATCCACATGCTGTTTCCTCTTTCTAGGTTATTACCATAATTTTTAAGGCAGTACATCCCTTAGAAAAGCCCTGTTGACATTTTCTCCAAGTATCACAGTTTTTCATGCATCTCTGACTCTTCAACTGCATTTCTCATTATAGTTTCTATCTGATGGACCGGTAGAGATGCCAAGCCTCCTGCTACTTTCCTCTGCAAATGTATCCCAGCAATTTACTCCACATCAAACCTGTTACCTTACTAGTCCTTAGATACACAACAGTGCTAAGGGAGAGGTTATACCAAATATTTTGTCTATATATTTGTATTTCTTACATATTAATTACTGCCAGTAAGATACTAAGGAAGCATAAAAATAAAAATTCCATAAAGTCTGGAAAACTTAATCTCAAACAAACTGTTTGAGCTTATTATAAGCTCAAACATTATTATATTATGACTATTATTATGTATTATAATTATTAAAATTATAAACAGACTTGTTTGCGCTGTTTTCAGTGAGATTTCAATGTTTAACCTCCCCTAAATATACTGCAGGAGTATTAACACTGATGATTGTATTCCTAAAAGTTAAGATATTATGTGTGTGCTTGACCAAAGAAAAATTAACTACGAACATTTTCATCTAAATGAAAATCACCTTAACAGATAGATTCTTCTGTATTACTGAATAGTCTGCACTTACAGTCAAGAGTGGTTTGGCCACAACATAAAAACAAGTCAATAATCCTACAGCAATAATGCAAACTGGCAATGCTGGTATTAACCAGTAACTGCAGCAAGTGTCCTATGGGGATGCAACAGAAATATTTTAAAAATTCATTGTGCCAAGTCCTGACAGTACATTTATTAAAGAAATGGAAAAGGGAAGAAGGGAAATAAAAGTGTTGACAAATAATAAAGCAGTAAACTAGTTCATGCATAGACGTTATTTCAGGACAGCTGCATAGAAAAATAATAAAAGCAAACAAATAGACGAACTTTTAAAATTCTTTTTTCTTATTTCAGGCCATAAATATGAAAAGAAGAAAGATACAGACTTTGGAATTTGAGAAACGTGCTTCTAGAAGTGATGTTAAAAGAAGCTGACACATACAGTCTGAGATGGACCATCAGACCTACAGCACTGCTTCCATGAGTTCTTACACTGTGCTGTCAAGCACTCATAATTCATCAATACAGAGGCACATCAGGAAAGGCTCACCTCATTTTGCCTTTTGAAGTTATGTCAACTCGCACGGGCTCAAATTTATGAGCAGGGGATATAACTTCCACGACGTAAGATCCTGAAGGTACATCATGAACCACAAAACTTCCATCTGTCCTGAAAAAAACAGAGAGTTCCAGGACATTTCAGTATGCTCCAGAATATAAAACAGGGTGCTCTGTTGGTATTTTTTTTTTAAGCTGTATCATTCTATATTACAAATTTTAATATAACCACAGTGACCAAAAGGAAAATTTAAATCAATCAGCACTCACAATATCAGGCCCTGTAAGTTCATCAATGCATGCCACAATAGGAGCAGAACTTCCGTTAGGTTAAAGATTTTGTTGTGCCCTCAAGGTGTTGTCTTGCTGGAGGAGTAATTTAACAGCCCAAGTAACATCTGAAGTAATTTTATTTCACATATTCAAGTGATGACAGAAGTAATTTACACCTTCCTTCCTCATTCTGAAATACAATCAATGAAGTTTACTTTACTTCAGTGCTTCTGCTGAAAGCAAAAACCCCCCCAGACTGACATTCTACATAATGTGGGTGAGTATAAGGGACGACTTGCAATGCACAAAAATAGCAATTTGTGCCTTTGTTGCAAAATAGTGGTTTTTTACTTCTAATTGCTCCCTTTAGAACCAGCCCACGCTGGAAAGCTCAATCACAGCAATAAGGAAACTAAGAGCTCTGAACATATACACAGAAGGGATTTTTACACAGGTGGCTTTTAGTTTAAAATATGAAACTTGAATATTCGATCAAAATATTAGTAAAAGATTACTTGCAAGCTTCAGCAATAGTTGCCTTAAAGGTACAGAAGTTTTCTTCCTGTATGTTTCCAGAAGTCTCTAGTAAGAAAAACCTAGTGCTCTCTACCCTATTAAATGCAACATCAAAGATCTCTTTCCTAAAAATAAGACTCAAAGTTAAGACAAAAACTTGTTCAAAGGGAAAAAGATGTAATAAGCCCTAACAAATTAGTAACATGCACCAGAAAAACAAATAAATGAACCCTCTTAAAAGGGAATTCTCAAAGAATTTGTCATTATGTCCTTCACAGCACATCTCTCTCTAACATGCACAACACTTAAGGATCTACCTACCTTTATGTGATGATCTGAATCCTTAGAATGCTTACACTGTCTTATATTGCAACTGCTATAACAATATTTCCCTGAGAAATTCCTTTTAATTTTTCATTCTTTACAGTATTGGAGAAATTTAGAGTTTCAATTAAGCATTTAGAAATTTGCCAACCTGATAGTCATTATTAAATCAGCTCCCAATATGATGTCAGGCTCTCATAACTTGTTTGTTGTGGCTTGGCAGGTGCTACACTGTCAAGATTCTACAAGATCTGCAGAGTAGAATCTGTTGTGCTAATCTATTGACAGAACCCAAAGTCAAAGTTAATCTTAACTCCTACTGCAGAAGATTTAATTAAAATTTATGAATATTTATGAGGATATATCTTACTTCCATGTAATCCCACTTTCACACGTATTTTAAAAGTAATTTATTATACTGTATTGAAAATCACAAAGAAGAATTTAGAATTTACTTCTACTCTTGCAATTACTACATTATTTCAGTTCTTAATTCTAAGGATATTTTCTATGTCTTATATTCTGCAGATATTTTGCTTATCTGAATATATGCAGTACCCTCTAGATATTTTGCTTATCTGAATATTCTTGACCCATTTTTCAGTACTCAGTACCACCCGAGTCTGAATAAGTAATGATTCTTTACAGCTTCCAGCTACCTTTGCACGATGCTGTGTGAAGGAATAATGCCACGTCCCTTAAATTAGCTTTCACCAGTAAAGTTTTTCACGGGTACTCTTAACACAGAACTACAACTGTAACTTCTGCCATGAACAAACGTTATCTCCACCTCGGGTAAAATTCTTAGCCAGGGTGAGGTTCTTAAAATAAGAAATGGCAGAATTTACACCATAAGCTGAGAATACACACGGTCCTCCAGAAAATGCAAATGCGTTTGCGTTTTCCGTTTTGGCTCTTGGTTTGGTATTTTCTCCTTTTTTAATTAAAACTCCGTTCCTAAGTTTTTGGCCAGCAACCTGAGTCATCAGTTTGGACACGTCTGCTAGAGGCTGGACCACAACCTACGGCACTGCACGGCCCATTACAGGGCAGGGGCCCAGTGCTCACAGCGCCGCCAGCAGCTCAACTCGGGATTCTGTGATTCCACGATCCCTCAGCGGTGCACGGCTCACCGGGACACGGCCGAGCCCTCCGGGGAGGAGCCGCCGCCGCCATCTCAGGGCCGGGCCGGGCCTGCGAGCGGGCCCCATGGCCCCGGCAGACGCCGGCTCCCGCCCGGGCAGGGCCGCCCGCCGCCCAGCGGGGCCCGAGCCCCCGCCCCGCCCCGCCCGCCGCTCACTTCAGGAAGCCGACGTGCTCCTCCCCGTCCACCAGCACCCGGGCCCCCGCGATCCAGTCCTGCGGCTTCACCCCGGGTACCACGGCCCGGCCCTCGATCTTAAACCGCTCCCCAGGGCCCGCGCCGCCCGACGGCTCTGCCGGCACCACAGGCTCCGATCCGCGGGCGCCGCGGGGCAGCAGCGCCGCCGAGAGCCAGAGCAGCGCCAGCCACAGGACCCCGGCCCGCGCCGCCATCGCCGCGCACCGCCCGCCCCGCGCCTGCGCCGCCGCGCACGGGGGCCCCGCCCCTCACTGACCACACCCCCGGCCGTGACCACGCCCCCCCCCCCCTGCCGTGACCACACCCCCTGCCGTGACCACACCCCCCTGCCGTGACCACACACCCCCTGACGTGACCACACCCCTCCCGCCGTGACCACACACCCCCATGCCGTGACCACACCCCCCGCCCAGCCGCCCGTGCCCGAGCACCTCCGGCCGCTCCCGGCACGAGCAGGTGTCGGCAGGGCGGGGACGTCTTCGGTTTATGACTAAAAGCAGAGCATAAGTTTCCACTTAAAAAGTGGAATAGCAGAAATGTGAACCTGAAGAAAGCAGATGTATAAGGAGTACATGTATCTTCCTTGGGAATGGATATACTTGAAATCTTAATAGTTGTCATGGAAAGACTAATAAACATTTTCTAGGAGGAAAAAGTATAAAAATTTTTCACAAAACGTTAAAATTGGCCTAAAGCGTGATCATTTAAAATTATTAATAGCACTGCAGTTTTTCTGATTAGTTTCAATAGGAGGAAAATGTGTTACTTAATAGGCAGCACAGACTTACGGGAGAAACCACGAGGGCTGTAATTCCTTCCCTGCCCCCTAATTTCCCTCTACAAAGCACGTCCTGTTATGTCATATGTATTCATTGTCACGTTGTGGCTACACTTGCTTCCTTTTACCTCTCTTATTTGTGTCAGAGTTAATTACTGAACCTGTGGAAAACACTATCATTAAACAAGATGAACCTGGTCATCAGTTGATAATAAAAATACTGCATTATACCAGGCATGATTTTAAAAGCATACGTCATCCTGTGTCAGTGAGATGTTTGAACTATTGGTCTATTAGTAGCTTTGAGCTGTCTCTACTTTGGAGAAAATCAGGAAGACGTATGATCTATGAGGTTCTGTCATATAAGCTCACAAACACCTAAAACTCCATCAGTTTTGGGGGTGGAAACCTAAGAATCACAGAACTGAATAGTTTTAAAAGTATTTACCAATAGGACCACTAAGTAGAAACATGTACGTTAAAGCTACTGACTACACTCTTTCCAGTACAACACCAGACAGACATCATCTTCATAGTGACATAGTCACAGTTGGTGCAAAAATGCTCCTTTTTAAAAAATATCCTCAAGAAACTGTATTAGGATACTGTCAGACCACAGTACAAATGATCATGCCCTCCAGTTCTAAGGATTTCCTCATTCTAACAAGTTGTTTTTATAACCTACATAATACAGTTTCTTGGTTTAAATCCTTGGAGAACCCAAAGAAAAAGACCCTCCTATTTCTTCTTTCATAATCTAATCCAAGAAGATTCTCTCTATATACATCATCCTGTTAACAAATTGAGAAGTTAATTAAACAGCATCTTGCCTTATCCAATACTTGCATGCACCCTTTTCAGTGTCAGGTTAGTAGTCCCTTGTCCTCTAACCATGTAACTTCTTTACATATTAAAAGTTCTCTTTCATACAGATATATAAATTACCATGTTTTTAAGCATACACAACTGAGAAAAAAAAATTAATTTGGTTCATTACTGTCTTTTTCTGGTTGACTAGCTACAACGGCAGCCTGAGTGGATTGCACAATGCTTTTTTTTGACTTTTGATATTGTGCTGTGGGTGTTTGTCTTCTAGGTAAAAAGAACAAATCCCAGAGCAGCAGTAGTACAAATAGAAACAAAGACATAAAAACATCCAGGTATATATTTACCAAAATAATTAGTACATCAGCAGGGAGATGGTACCTGTTTTTATTCTGGAAGGAATTTAACTATTAGTAAAGTTGTTTCTGCAGCTTGATTTCAAGTGAATCTCCCATCAAAAGACAGATAAAACTGCCAAGTAACAGTTTCAGTTCAATCGAAACAACCAAACAATTCTATGAACTTGAAAGTGCAGTCAAGAATGACCTCCACGTTTTGTAGTTGTCTCTTCATTGATGCATTCACTCCCTGAGTAGCAGCTACATAGAAAATTGAAAGTTTCTTAGAAGTTCTACCCTGCTCACAGGCAAATTTTCGGTTTTGTCTGTTTTGCTTCAACCAGCTGTCACTAATGCTACAGAACTGTCAGCCAGATGGATGAGAGCTGACAGTCCCTAATGGGTTGAACAAAGAGAAGGCCTAGATTAATGTAATGCCATCACACTGGTAACACTGAAATCTCTGTCTCCAGATTCTTGTCACCTTTGGTTTCACATGCAAACTGAAAAAGGAGAGGAAACCTCTTAAATCCTTCTGAATGAAACATCAGAATCCAAGATCTTCAAAGCTGTTTACAAAGAATTAAGTGGTTTGGAGTATGTTGGATACATACTCTTAAGTAGTAAGAGAGATTTTAATCTCCTGAGGATAAAAGGAGTTTGGAAAAGATGTATCAGAACTTATTTTTTGATGAATCCTTATCACAGTCAGAATGCTAGCAAAACTTGCTACGTGTCTTTTGCTACATATCACCATTAGTAAAGCATTTAATTTAGCTTTGAAAATTTCAGTGTAATAATTCAGTGTAGTAATTCAGCTCTAAAACTTCTCTTTCCATAAAGCTAGTAGTACCTTGGCTAGTATTTAAATATTTGCTTTGGAAAATGAAGATGATTTGTCATTGATACTGGTTTACTGTAATATACCAGACAGATGCTGAACCTCAAACAGCAGCAGTCCAAAATCTGTTTTGTGCGTGACTCAGGCTGGATATGCAGAGGTGCTGACTTTGACCAGACAAGCAGGGAGCACCTTCAGCCATCTGCCTCTAATCTTACCATAATCTTTGAGTCAGTCCCCCGATATAGATACACAGATACACCAGATGAGTAATGCTGGTTCACAAATATTCAGTGGAACCAAAGATACAATCCTTGCTGACACGAAGAATAAATAAGAACTATATATGCATCAAAATACTCATAGCTACATCCTATTTGGGTTTTGATAAAATAATTAAAGGTGAGAAGAAATCAAAATGCCCAGACAAGCAAGCAGATTTATGAGAATACACAAACTGAAGGTGGATGGAAGAGCTCAACATAAAGGTACTATGAAAGGCCACAGTCAGGTAACTCATTTACTGAGATCTCTCCTACACAAGGAGCTCTACTATGATTAAAAACAAAATTAATAAAAATTGCGCTGCATATTTCTTTCAGGACCATTTAAAAAATAAATTATTGTAGTGTGCCATCTACTGGCAATTTACTGTGCTACACTAGAAATAGTAACAGGATTGCAGCCTGAGTTCAGCAACAAAGTTCTTGTTCTTCTGAATATAAGATGCCCGGAGAGGGTCTCTGACTCGGGGTAGAAAGTGCACAGGCCATCTTCACTTGCTCCAGAACCCCAGTCTGCTTCAGATTGCCGTTCAAAGAACGACAATGAAGCTAATGAAAAGTCTGGAGCATAGGTCTCATAAGAAGCAGCTGAGGGAGCTGGGTTTTTTAGCCTGGAGAAAAGGAGGCTCAGGGGAAACCTTACTGTTTTCTAAAACTACCTGAAAAGAAGTTGCAGAAATATTAGGATCAGCCTCTTCATCCGAGTAACAAGTGACAGAAAGAAATGGCCTCAAATTGCATCAGGGGAGGTTTAGATAGGACATTACGAAAACAATCTTCATCAAGAGTTGTCAAGCATGGGAACAGGCTGCTCAGGGAAGTGGTGAAGTCCCCATTACTGGATGCATTTAAATGACACAGAGATGTGATGCTTAGGGATACAGTTTAGTCATGGACTTGGCAGTGTCAGGTTACTGGTTGGACTCGATGACCTAAGATGTCTTTGGCAATCTAAATGATTCTATGTTGGGGCAGAAAATCTCTTAATCCCCTGCAAACTCTGCAGTTGTCAGAATAATTCCTACATCTCCAACACGTCCACCCCCACACCATGAAGTTAGCATGTATGATTGAGGACTTTCCTGTCTCAGATAACATTCCCCTACTCCCTTGTTTGCTTCCACCTCAAATTGACTGGACAAACTTCTTCAGGTCTTTTCTTTTTTCAGGAATGAATTGTTTTCTTCTTATAATAGACGTCCAAAACAGGATACTCTACTTATCATAGGAGATGGTAAATACTGACGTTGAGAGTGCAAGATAATAGCCAGTTTTGTCTGGTTGCAACTGAACTCATCTTTACTAAATTCAAATTTATTATTTGGTGGAGGAAATTTGATTAATAGTTTAAGTGCTGGGAAAAGGAGCATAATTCTCCTGCTATAAAAATTTCCAGACTCCCTCATGCAAGCAGAACAACTATGTAAGATGATGGTAACCTGAAAGTCAGTTTTACAGTACTTTGACTGCACTCCTCATCCACTCCTGTTCTCTGTAAAAATTTGTCCCTACATATCTGTTAAGCAGAAACTGTGCATTAACCATGCAAGCAGTAGGTTTAATAATTACAGTATTCATTAAGCTGACTAGGTAAGAAGTTATGACCCACAGAATGATGCTACACACGTCCTCAGATTCCTGTGTTGTTACTTGTATGGACAGCACCTGTAATCATTCACATGAGGCTAGAATGACACATCAGTGTGATGTTTGGCTTCTAAAAATATAAGCAGTTTAGAATCCTTATTTCTTGGTATGCACTCTAAATGCTGTTGTTTCTTTACATCTGGGTTTTACTTCCATAATGCCACAAGGTGGCCTCCACATAATAGAGCATTATCACCACATCCTTCAGAGAATGACATATGAAAGCATGCTTTTGCTTTACTGCAGTGTTAGTAATAGAGCACCACCAAATTACATTATTTTCTTTGTATTTCAGGCTCAAGAAGCTTACCTGCTGTGTAGAATTTGTTCACATCTGACAGGAGGTCAGAGCAACACAAAACAGCTGCAAGCACTTTGGTAGGATGTTCTACCTGAGAGAAGCTTATTCAGGAGCCAAGCGTGTGACATGCTCACAGAGCAGGTCTAGAAGTTGTCTGCCCTGCAGAAAGTCTGGGAAATCCTGCATCCAGGGCTGCAGTAATTCAGGCAGCAT